CTGTCATTCCTAGGTAACATATTAGTACTACCGATTGATTGAAAATTTTGGTTGTATTAGTTGCTATCAGATTTAGATTGCAAGGTCAAGCATAAAGTAGGGCACTTTGTTCTCTAAAATTTAAACAGAGAGGAGACATGAATTCTTGCTTCCGCTCTGCCCATCACTATCCACACAGAGGCCTCCTTTAAGGTAGGATGCTCCGCTACTCGTGTATTTTTACATCCTACATCTTGAGCAAATTCCATAATCCTACTCATCTTCGATGCTAGAGCACTCGACCAATGAATTATTACGCGCTCTTTCAAGGATGGTTGCTTCTAGGCAAAACATGTGGCTATCTTGGAGCTCCTACCTCCTTTTATTAATGAATGATCATTTATGAGCCTTAACTAGTAATTTGGGCAATTTCCCTCTTGATGATGTTGGATTTGACATGATAATAGATAATGAGATGGGGCCTGTTGAGTAAGAAATTATCAATAAACATTGAAATATGGAAAAGAAATATGATCTAATTTTAAGTAAAGATCTAACAAAATCATTTTTGCTTTAAATCCTATTAGTCGCTATAATTAATGGAAAATGCCGAAATGCCCGAATTTTGGTGACTGAATGGGTGACAGACCCTCATATGGAGTGTGGGCATGCGTGAATAAAATAATGCCCAACTCTCGAGGTGTGAGTGTTCAATCATCCCGCATGTCAATCATTATGTTTGTGTAGCATGGTCCATAATTAATTCATCTTTACCTGTGTCAAAAATTCCTCACTTGGTGTCAAAAATTCCTCACTTTTTGACAACAACATTTCCCTAAGATCAACTTTTCAACCGAATCTCATCGGTCTCTCATAATTCATTGTACTTTAAAATACCTACAAATACGGGCTTCATTTCTTGTCCTACGATGATGGTTAAAATACAAGATCGCGTAAAATAAACAATGCGCAATGTTTTCATATTAAAAAAAAAAATCATTTAAATATCTCCCGATCAGGGCTGATTCTCATATTTTGAGTGCCATGTAAGAAACCTAAAATAATGTTCCTCTATCATTTAGTTAAGAAGCATGCAACAAAAATAATGCTATAAGATGACTCGCTGAATATAAAACTACTATCTAACAAAAATATAACATTTCAACGTTTATTTATTTTTAACACGTCATAAAAGAAAAGGTACAAGTAAAACACTGGCTTTGTGCATGAAAGCACATTCAGAACATCTAAGAGCACGAACATTCTGAAAAATAAAGCTTCATCCAAACCACTGACATCTTCAAGCAATTTCTTATATATGTGCAAATTTATAAAACAAAAAACAGAAAATACATCAACCATTGTCACGTATAAACCTTGAAATGCAATAAATCATGTAAAAAAACACTTCTTCTCAAATTTCTATAAGCAAAATCACTACTTAAACTTTGTAATTAATAGTTACGAGCAAATAATGTTCAATAGATATCAAAGTTATACCCTTAATTGAATTATAATCAAGGTGGCTATGAATTGAGTCGAATCGTCTACTGAGCTTTCCCATTAGGTTCTTCTCTTTACTCAAATGAGCATGAGATTTTGGGCTCCGAGTATAGCTCTACTCATTTTCTTAAAAATGTACTCAACTGACTCGGCTCGATTTGACTCATGAGGTCATCTAATAACAACCCAATCTACTTAGGTCAACTCAAGCCTTTTTTTTTTTTAAAGGAAAAATTCATAAACGAGAAATTGATTATTTCTCTTTTATTTAAATATTTTTAAAAGTTAGATACGTCTTGTGATCGAAATATTAAAGTATTCAAATGCTTTGATTTCAAACTTTACAAAATGAAATATACATTTAAAGAACATACAATAATTCGTGCTCTACAAATTTAAAATCCATCTCCTTTCTGTGGACTTAGTACTGAATAAATTAATAATTGTCGGAGTTAAATTATATACAAATTGATATTATTCAAATTTTTGGAAATGGAACAGGTATTTATAGATAAATTAAGAGAATTTTCAATTTTTCAATAACAAATTAAATAAGATTTAAATTGCAGACGGGCTCGACTCACAAGCCTTCGGTGCCGAACCCAACCCAACCTAGCTTGTGAACTTGAAAGTAAAGCTTAGCTTGGCTCGTGAGCCCATCAAAACTCGACCCAGGCCTCTTGGGGAGCCGAGTTCTCATGAGCCCAGCTGATGGGCTTGCAAGCGGCCTGGCTCAATTTCTATCCCTATATTACCGAACTTTATAATAATTTTCAATTTTTTCTAGAGGTGGGCGTGGGTAGATTTGGTTCGGTCCTAAAAAGAACTGAATCGAACCAAAATTTTCGGGTATCTAGTAAATGGAACAGTCGGGTCCAAATATAATTATAGAACCGTTCGGGTTCGGTTCGATTCGGTTCCGTACTATAATTAAATTTTTTAACATTTATAACATTATATAAATAGAATTAATGACACATACAATGCTTTTGGAATGTCAGAGACTAGTAGATTATTTTGTTCAAATGATCGCTACGGTCAAAGTTTCGGTCGACGGAGGTCACAGCTTCGATCAGAGCTCACAACGTCGATCGGCAATTGTATAGGTTTTGGAATGTTAAAGAAGCTGCGAGAATGAGTACGAGAGTCGAGACAGCGTTATGCACTTTAGTGTAGGTGTTTAGGGTTATTTAGTAGGTTGAATCTTGTTGGGCTAAGAAATGAAACAATAAAATGGGTAATTTGGCAAAAAATTTAAAAAAAATTAGGAATGAAACAAATTATTGGGCCAAAAATTTGGATTTGGAAATTGTTAATTTGTTAATTTGTTTAGAAAAAATTTAAATTTAAATAATTTTATTTATTCAATATAGAAAAAAATTCGATTCTTATTCGGTTCTTGTTCTAGAACCGAGAATCGAACCGTACCCATCGGTTCTCAATTCAGATACCCGTTCGGGTATTTAATTTGACAAGAACCGTCAGGTTCGGTTCGAAAAAAGAAAAATTTGCCCATCCCTAATTTTTTCCCTTCATTCGGAAGTAATATGATATAAACTAATGGAAATTACATAGAAGCCCACTTTTAAAGATCCCATTTCAGAAATCATATGCTAGGTTTATTATTTTAAAAATCAGATATTTTGTTAATTAATATATTATTATTAGATAAATATATTATTAAATTAAATTAATTTATAAACCAATCCTAGCTCCCTCCACCCTACCTCATTTCTCCGTAGCCCATTCTCTCTCTACCTATCCTCTCTTTCGTTGTCATCACAGAGCGACAATATCGCCGCGTAGTATTGTGCTGCATATCAACGTGTAGCAACCAAGATTATGGTTGCAGTGGTGCAGATAGTGATGGTGGTGTGCAGTTGTGGTGGTGTTTGTGCGACTGTGTTGCTGTGGGTGCTGTTGTGGTGTTGTGGACGCGATGGTAGTGCGGTGGTTGGGTGTCGGTGTGGGTGTTACAACCCACATTTTTATCTAGTCAAGGTCAATAGTGAAATTTTCAAAGTCAAGTCAAATGAGGACTTTATGAAATAAATCATTTTTATTGGGACTCGATTGACCAAATCATTTTATTTTGGTTTATCTTATAAATTATAAATATATTTTGAAGGTTAAATTGGATACATTTTTAAGTTGGAAACTTACTTATATAATTTTGGAAGTGTTAGGATTAAATGTGATATGAAAAAGAGAGTTGAAAGACTTAGTTTGCGATTATGGGTCAGTGGACCAGCCATTTGACCCATTCTCTCTCAATTTCACATCAAAATACACACATGCAGTAACAAGAGAAGCAGAGACCGGCAATGAAGGGAGAAAAAGGGAAAGAAGAAAGGAAAAAGGAAAAGGAAAAGAAGAAAGGAAAAAGAAGAAGAAAAGAGGTGAGGTTAATCTCTTCAAGTTGGGTTTAATTTTTCCACTCTGTTTTTGAGTGATTAAGTATGATTTATATTAAATTTTTAGGGTTTTAACTTGTAGAATAAAATGTCGAATTTCAGGTGATATTTGTACGAATTGGAGCTCAAGTTTGGGGATTTCTTCATTTTCAATTTCAGCTAGGTAATGGATATTATTTTAGCAAACCCTAGAAATTTTATTTGGGATTTTTGGGATTAAGTATGTTTATGGAAATGATGATGTTGAGAGAATAATTAATTGAGAACTTATTCAAGTGTCCAGAAAATTTAATTTTAAGTTCTATCATTAGATATTAAGGTTTCTTGATTAGATAGATGATAAATTGGTTATTAATATCGTATTTCATTGGAAACGTTTATCAGCCAATCTAGCTTGTAGCTCATACCTTGTGAGTGGATAAAACTTATTTTTCAAAAATAAGTCTTCTTTAAATTTTAAAGTTATTTATTTTATAAAGTTGACTTCATAGCATGATTTTCAGAATAAAATGGATTTTATTATCAATTGCTTTTAAAGTTAAATTCAGTTCAGTTAAATTATTTTAGTAGCATGTATTATATTCTTATTACATGTTTCAGTATTGTTAAAGTTATTTCTAAAAACCACCAGAAAGTACCCAGGTGATTTTACCCCAGTCTGCACTGATGTGAATGTGTTTCTACAGTGTATGACTAGTTACAGTGATTTTACCCGCTCTGCACTGTCATGAATGTGTTTCCATAGTGTATGACCAGATTATCAGAGGTCTTTGAGACCCACTCTCGTACACACATAGGCTTTGGGTCGTGTACTAGGGTGATTAGCCTTTGGGGCAGCTCTGCGTACGTATGACCAGATTATCAGCTATCAGATTATCATATTTGAATGGCTTTGCCTTGTACATTGAGATTACTCTGTACATGAGTAAAGCTATTCATTGGGTACTCTTTTTGGTGTGATTTTTCAGTATTTATTCAGTTCTCAGATTTCAGATTATGGATTCAGTTAATTCAGTTTTCAGAATAAATCTTTCAGCTTCTAGTATTGAACAGCAGCAATATTTCATAAATTTTCATGAATATCAGATTCTTTATAATTGTTATACCTTACAGATACTTATCTAGAATTTAGAACGAAGAATTTTATAATGTAATCATGTTTAGTTTTTAAAGGCATTACTAGATTCAGAAATTCTCAAGGATTTAATAAAGTTAAAATTTTTAGAAAATATGCATAAATGGAAAAAGTTTACTTATTTGGAAATCATTCGCTCACTGAGTTATAAACTCATATATTTTTATCATGCTTTCCTATCAGGAGACCGTCAATTTTGAGATACTGGAAAAAGCCTGCTGAAGCGAAAGAGACTGTTTCATAGTATGTAATCTATAGTTGGGGAATTCATGTTTATTAAGTACTTGTCTAATATTTGGAGTGTCATGCACTTCGTAGAAAGGTTTTGACATGATGATGTTGTAGAAGTACTCAATCGAATTTTGTTATATTTTGTTGTAGTTGTGGTGGTATTAGAGGATGTGGTGGTTTCCAAAACTTTTGGTTTAAATGTCTATTTGAGATTTTGATGATTTTTCAGGTTGGTTTTCTCCATGTTACAGAGGAAACTCTGTCAAAATTTTTATAGAATTATGTCATGGTCAAGTAGGTCACGTTTGCCTTGGTGGCGGGTCCGGCATTTAGCTGACATCTACCATCAGCGCACGACACATGTCGAGTCAATTTGGTTAAATAGGGACGGGTCGTGTCATTTGGTATCAGAGCATGGTCTTAGAGTTTATGAGTAACATTGTATGTATCTGATGTTTGTATGTTACACATTATTGTAGGTAAGTCATGCGTGGTAGAGGTAGAACTCGCAGGCACCAAAATCCAGTATCTCAAGCTCCAAATACTCCTGAAGAAAGACATGTTGGAGGGGTCAGTAGGGCTGCTGAATCAGTGCACCAGTCTCAGGTGCAACCTGACCCCATCACTGATAGAATAGCTGCAGCTATTGCTTCCCTTCTACCAAATACCGATAGAGATAACTCTATTGAGAGAGCGATGAAACTTGGAGCAAAATTTTTTATGGGTACATCTAATCCAGCTGATGCCGAACTTTGGATGAAGACTTTGGAAAGCATATTTGATGTGATAGAATGCTCCGAGGATAAAAAAATTACGCATTGCTATATTTTTATTGAAAGGTGGGGCTGCTGATTGGTGGATTTCGTTTCGAAGTCGGTATCCAGATCCTAGTGTTATCACCTGGACTATTTTTAAGGAAGCTTTCTTTGAGACATATTATCCACCATTTTATCGTGATGCTAAACAAAACGAATTTTTAAGATTGGTTCAAAGGTCTATGTCAGTTGCTGAATATCATGTAAAGTTTGTTGAACTGTCTAAGTATGCAAGTGCCTTGGTTGCTGAGGAGAGAGATAGGTGTAGACGGTTCGAGCAAGGGTTGAGAGCTGAAATTCGGCCTATGGTTACTGCTCATGGGCATCAAAATTTTGGTTTGTTGGTTGAGGCGGCATTAAGGGTTGAGACAGCTATTCGTGAAGGAAGTAATCAAGGAGAACAGGTGACCTTTCGAGGTGGTAGTAGTCAATCAGGAGCTTCAGGAGAAAGGTTCAAGAAGAACAGAAAAGGATTTTGGCTAGGTGCCACTAAATCTGGCAATTTTAAATCTAAGTCTGGGAGTTTTAGCTCTAGTCAGGGATCAAGACATAGCCAGAGTTTTGGACAACAATTAGTGGGGAGCCATTCTCCTTTACAGAGAATTCAAGGAGCGAGGCAGAGTGAGGCTTCTGATCATAGGAGCTTTCCACAGTGCCAGTCGTGTGGGATGTTTCATCTAGGCTAGTGTCTTCGAGGGGTTGGAGTTTGTTATCAGTGTGGTCAGATGGGACACATAAGGAAGGATTGTCCAGCCAATCTCAGCAGATTGGAGCATCTCAGATAGTATCTCCTCAGCCAGGGATCGGTATGACCAGACAGAACAGGGATCAAATAGCTCCATCAGCAGGGTCGGTGGGGGCTACACAATCTAATTCTGCTAGGGGTAGTGCTTCTAGACAGGGAGCCTAGGCAGGTCGGTCCAGGACTCAGGGCAAGGTGTTTGCTATGACACAATAGGAGACAGAGGAGTCACCAGATGTGGTAGTGGGTATGTTATCTATTTTTGGTAGAAATGTTCGTTCTTTAATTGATTCGGGTGCTACATATTCCTTTATTTCTCACACACTTGCTAGCTATGCTGATCCAATGTCAGAGCCTTTAGATAATGAATTGGTAGTAGTAACTCCAGTAGGGGACTCACTTTTAGCAAATCGTGTATATAAAGATTGTGGGATTAGAGTGAACAATCATGAGTTGAAAGCAAATTTAATTCCTCTTGACATTCATGATTTTGATGTTATTTTGGGGATGGATTTTCTATCTAATCACCGTGCTTCGGTTGATTGTTTTCGCAAGGAAGTGGTATTTAGAAGTTCAGGAGAGCTTGAAATTGTTCTCACTGGGGAGCTCAGAATTTTGCCATCTTGTGTAATATCTGTCCTGAATGCTCAAAAGGGTTGTGATGCATATTTGGCCCATGTAATTGATACTCAGATTACAAAGCGGGCAATTGATGATATATCAGTTGTGCGAGATTTTCCCGATGTCTTTCCAAAAGACCTTCCGGGATTACCCCCAGACAGGGAGATATAATTTTGTATTGATTTGATTCCCAGGACAGCACCTATTTCACAGGCACCTTATCGAATGGCTTTGAAAGAGTTGAAGGAATTAAAGGTACAATTACAAGAATTGATAGATAAGGGTTTCATTAGACCCAGTGCATCCCCATGGGGAACACCTGTATTATTTGTGAATAAGAAAGATGGCACTATGAGATTATGTATTGACTATAAACAGTTGATTAAGATGACTATTCGCAATAAGTATCCTCTGCCCCGTATTGATGATTTGTTTGATCAACTTCGAGGTGCCTCGGTATTTTCAAAGATTGATTTACGTTCAGGTTATCATCAGCTCAGAATTATAGATGTTGATGTACCAAAGAATGCTTTTCGGTCTCGGTATGGTCATTATGAATTTTTTGTGATACCGTTTGGATTAACTAATGCCCCAGCTGCATTTATGGATTTGATGAATAGGGTGCTTTACCCATATTTAGATAAGTTTGTGATTGTTTTTATAGATGATATCTTAGTTTATTCTCGCAGTAGAGATGAGCATGCTGAGGATTTGAGGATTATTTTGCAGACTTTGCGAGATAAGCAGTTGTATGCTAAGTTCAGCAAATGTGAATTTTGGCTGGATAAAGTTGTATTTTTGGGTCATGTTATCTTAGCTGAAGGTATTTATGTAGATTCTCAGAAAATTGAAGCAGTAACAAAATGGGAACGCCCTACTAATGATACAGAAGTACGGAGTTTCCTTGGGCTAGCAGGTTATTATCATCGTTTTGTAGAGAATTTTTCCAAAATTGCTCTTCCTTTGACTAGTTTGACTCGGAAGAACACAAAATTTGTGTGGAATAAGGAATGTGAAAAGAGTTTTCTAGAGTTGAAGAAAAGGTTGACTTTTGCTCCTATACTTACTCTTCCATCTCCGGGTGAAGAGTTTGTGATTTATAGTGATGCTTCACGTCAATGATTGGGTTGTGTTTTAATGCAAAATGGGAAAGTTGTAGCTTATGCTTCAAGACAATTAAGGAAGCATGAGTTAAATTACCCAACTCATGATTTGGAGTTAGCTGCAATAGTGTTGGCATTGAAGATTTGGAGGCATTATCTTTATGGTGAGAAATGTCAAATATTTACTGATCACAAAAGTTTGAAGTATATTTTTGATCAGAAGGAACTGAATCTGAGGCAGCGAAGATGGTTGGAGTTGATTAAGGATTATGATTGTAAGATTGATTACCATCCAGTGAAAGCTAATGTGGTTGCAGATGCTCTCAGTAGAAAGACTAGTTCTTCCTCTTCAGCCAGTGCAGTTTATGCTTCTTTGATTTGTGAATTCAAGAAATTACATGCTCATTTGTTAGCTACTACTTCAGGTGCTGTATTAGCTCATTTTCAGGTGAGGCCTACTTTGATTGATAAGGTTAGAGAAGCTCAATCTCAAGACCAGACATTGAGAATATTGAAAGCGGATGTTAGTACTGGGTTAAGAACGGATTATGTGATTAGAGATGATGGGGCGTTGGCTATGGGTAATAGATTATGTGTTCCAGATATTCCAGAATTGAAGAAAGAGATTTTGGAAGAGGCACACAATTCTGCTTATGCTATGCATCCAGGTAGTATTAAAATGTATCATACATTGAAAGATCATTATTGATTGCTTGGTATGAAAAGAGAGATAGCAGATTTTGTATCCAAATGCCTTATATGTCAGCAGGTAAAGCCAGTTCGTCAGAAAAAGTAGGACTTTTACAGCCATTACCTATTCCAGAGTGGAAATGAGAACACGTTACTATGGACTTTTTATTTGGTCTTCCTCGTACTCAAAATGGTCATGATGGAGTTTGGGTGATTGTAGATCGTTTGACCAAAACTGCCAAGTTCTTGCCGATCAAAGCCACTTATACTTTAAATAAGTTGGCAAAGTTGTATGTGGATGAGATAGTGAGCTCATATGGTACTCCATTATCTATTGTATCTGATAGAGACCCTCGTTTTACATCTAAATTTTGGCCCAGTTTACAAGAAGCCATGGGTACTAAACTATATTTCAGTACAGCTTTTCATCCTCAAACAGATAGCTAGTCAGAGAGGACCATACAGACTCTTAAAGATATGTTGAGGGCATGTGTTTTAGAGTTCAAAGGTAGCTGAGATTCACATTTGTCATTGATGGAATTTGATTACAATAACAGCTACCACTCCAGTATAGAAATGGCTCCTTTTGAAGCTTTATATGGTCGAAAGTGCAGAACACCAGTTTGTTGGGATGAAGCTGGTAAGATGAAGTTAATAGGACCTGAATTGGTTCAAATGACATCTGAAAATGTGGAATTGATCAAGGAAAAGTTGAAAACAACTCAGAATAGACAGAAAAGATCTTGAATTTGCAATAGGAGATAAAGTTTTTCTTAAATTATCTCCTTGGAAAGGGGTATTGAGATTTGGTAAGTGAGGAAAGTTAAGTCCACGATATATTGGACCATATGAGATTATTGAACGGATTGGCCCAGTAGCATATCGATTAGATTTGCCAACTGAATTATCTCGAATCCATGATGTTTTCCATGTCTCTATGCTTCGCAAGTACATTGTAGATCTTTCTCATATTCTAGAGTCTCATCCAGTCCACTTGAAGGAGAATTTAACTTATATAGAGGAGCCAGTGAAAATTTTAAACAAAAAGGTGCAAATTCAGCTGAACAAGACGGTCTCACTTGTTAAGGTACTTTGGCAGAATCAGACAGTAGGTGAGGCTACATGGGAGCATGAGGATCAGATGCGTGTTCAATATCCTCATCTATTCGTTATCTAATCAGATGCCAGTTGAATTTCGAGGACGAAATTCTTTTATGGAGGTAAGATTGTTACAACCCACAATTTTATCTAGTCAAGGTCAATAGTGGAATTTTCAAAGTCAATTCAAATGAGGACTTGTATGAAATAAATCATTTTTATTGAGACTCGATTGACCAAATCATTTTATTTGGGTTTATCTTATAAATTATAAATATATTTTGAAGGTTAAATTGGATACATTTTTAAGTTGGAAACTTACTTATATAATTTTGGAAGTGTTAGGATTAAATGTGATATGAAAAAGAGAGTTGAAGGACTTAGTTTGCGATTATGGGTTAGTGGACCATTTAATTCAACCATTTGACCCATTCTCTCTCAATTTCACAGCAAAATACACACACACAGAGTAACGAGAGAAGCAGAGACCGGCAGTGAAGGGAGAAAAAGGGAAAGAAGAAAGGAAAAAGAAAAAGGAAAAGGAAAAGAAGAAAGGAAAAAGAAGAAGAAAAGAGGTGAGGTTAATCTCTTCAAGTTGGGTTTAATTTTTCCACTTTGTTTTTGAGTGATTAAGTATGATTTATATTAAATTTTTAGGGTTTTAACTTGTAGAATAAAATGTCGAATTTCAGGTGATATTTGTACGAATTGGAGCTCAAGTTTGGGGATTTCTTCATTTCCAATTTTAGCTAGGTAAGGGATATTATTTTAGCAAACCCTAGAAATTTTATTTGGGATTTTTGGGATTAAGTATGTTTATGGAAATAATGATGTTGAGAAAATAATAAATTGGAAGCATGAAATTATGGAACAAGAGGAAAAATTTAATTAGTTGAATTATAGCAACTTCTTGTCACTTGAATGATGTGGATGTCATAGTGATGTTTGGAAGTGAAGGTTATGTTGATAAATTAGTTATTAGTCAATGGATTATAAAGTGTGATTAGCTCCAATTAATAAAGGAAAATTTGAGAACTTATTCAAGTGTCCAGAAAATTTAATTTTAAGTTCTATCATTAGATATTAAGGTTTCTTGATTAGATAGAGGATAAATTGGTTATTAATATCGTATTTCATTAGAAACGTTTATCAGCCAATCTAGCTTGTAGCTCATACCTTGTGAGTGGATAAAACTTATTTTTCAAAAATAAGTCTTCTTTAAATTTTAAAGTTATTTATTTTATAAAGTTGACTTCATAGCATGATTTTTAGAATAAAATGGATTTTATTATCAATTGCTCTTAAAGTTAAATTCAGTTCAGTTAAATTATTTTAGTAGCATGTATTATATGCTTATTAGATGTTTCAGTATTGTTAAAGTTATTTCTAAAAACCACCAAAAAGTACCCAGGTGATTTTACCCCAGTCTGCACTGATGTGAATGTGTTTCTACATTGTATGACTAGTTACAGTGATTTTATCCGCTCTGCACTGTCATGAATGTGTTTCCATAGTGTATTACCAGATTATCAGAGGTCTTTGAGACCCACTCTCGTACACACATAGGCTTTGGGTCGTGTACTAGGGTGATTAGCCTTTGGGGCAGCTCTGCGTACGTATGACCAGATTATCAACTATCAGATTATCATATTTGAATGGCTTTGCCTTGTACATTGAGATTACTCTGTACATGAGTAAAGCTATTCATCGGGTACTCTTTTTGGTGTGATTTTTCAGTATTTATTCAGTTCTCATATTTCAGATTATGGATTCAGTTAATTCAGTTTTCAGAATAAAGCTTTCAGCTTCTAGTATTGAACAGCAGCAATATTTCATAAATTTTCATGAATATCAGATTCTTTATAATTGTTATACCTTACAGATACTTATCTAGAATTTAGAACGAAGAATTTTATAATATAATCATGTTTAGTTTTTAAAGGCATTACTTGATTCAGAAATTCTCAAGGATTTAATAAAGGTAAAATTTTTAGAAAATATGCATAAATGGAAAAAGCTTACTTATTTGGAAATCATCCACTCACTGAGTTATAAACTCATATATTTTTATCATGCTTTCCTATCAGGAGACCGTCGATTTTGAGATACTGGGAAAAGCCTTCTGAAGCGAAAGAGACCATTTCATAGTATGTAATGTATAGTTGGGGAACTCATGTTTATTAAGTACTTGTCTAATATTTGGTGTGTCATGCACTTCGTAGAAAGGTTGGTAATTGATGTGATGCTTGCATGTTGACATGATGATGTTGTAGAAGCACTCAATCGAATTTTGTTATATTTTGTTGTAGTTGTGGTGGTATTAGAGGATGTGGTGGTTTCCAAAACTTTTGGTTTAAATGTCTATTTGAGATTTTGATGATTTTTCATGTTGGTTTTGTCCATGTTACAGGGAAAACTCTGTCAAAATTTTTATAGAATTATGTCATGATCAAGTAGGTCATGTTTGCCTTGGTGGCGGGTCCGCCATTTAGCTGGCATCTACCATCGACGCACGACACGTGTCGAATCAATTAGGTTAAATCGGGACGGGTCGTGTCAGTGGGTGTATGTGTGCATGCGACTATGGTGGTGTGGCGTGTTTGTGTTGCTGTGGGTACAGTTGTGGTTCTATGGATGCGATAGTAGTGCGGTAGTTGGGTATGGATATGTGTGTGCCTGCGACTGTAGTAGTGTTTTCTGGGTTCGATGGTAGGTTCTCTTAGTATCAAGTTCTCAGCCATCGTCTGCATCCCTTCTCTGATGTTTGGATATGATTTTTGGTGTTTGGTATATGATTGGTGGTGGTTGTGATGTTGTCTACGACGGCGAGGTGATACTGCTATTGGTAGTTCAGCGAGTTGATGGTGGTAGTGGCGTGGAGTTACAGTTGATGTGAAGGCCAAGCCTGGTTGTGCAATAACATTATTTTGGTTGGTTTTTGCATTTTTTGTATTTTGTGGTAGTCGTGGGTAGTGATGTGGTGGTATTTTCTGCTCTGGTTGATTGTTTGAGATGGTGGTGGTGGTGCTAGAGGCAGTGGTGAGATCATGGTCGCTAGTGTTGTGATAGTCACAAATTATTTGGTTGACCGTGACCATTAAATTTGTTAAATTGTGATTAATGAACAATATGTGACAAATGAAAAAAAGAAGAAGATAAATTGTGACTAAGAAATAATGTGTGATCTAAAAAATTGTTAATTTGTGACTGTGGGTTTGGTAATTTGTGACTTATTATATTTGTAATTTGTGTCCAATAAATAAATCGTAAATTATAAATTATTGACTTGTGATTGATGAATAAATTGTGACCTATAAAAATTTTGAATTGTAACCTAAAATAGTTTGTGAAATATAAAAAAAAAAATGATCTGTGATCGAAAAAATAATAATATGACTAACTAATTGTTAATTTGTGACCAAATTACATATATCTACAACCTTAATATATTTAATTAATTAAATATATAATTAATTAATTAAATCATAAATATAATTTAATAAATATCCGATTTTTAAAATTTGAAACCTTTGTTCTTATTTTTGAAATTAGTGATACTTAACCTCTTAGTTATAAATTTTTCTCTATAAACTATAGCTTGAAAATGAATTACAAACTAGTAACGTTAATTAGAAAAATAAAATTGAGTAATGTTATTTATATTCAACGATTGTGTAATCATTTTTATATGGTAATTTAGGGGGATATATTCAATTGAGACTTTTAATAACTTTTGGGGATTTAAAAAGAATAGAAATATTCAATTGAAACTTTATGAGACTCTCAAAAAAGTCATGGTGTATTCAATTAAAACTTTTATAGACTTTTAAAAAAAATTTAAAAGTCACGGTGTATTCAATTAAAACATTTTAGAAGTTTTAATAAGTCTTAAGGTATTTAAATTCTAATGACTTCCAAAGACTTTTCTCTGGAGTACTAACTTTTAAGCAAAAAAGTACTTATATAATATCTTAAAATTTGGTTCTCATTAATCACGAGATTTTGGAAGACTTTCACAAAAAATATAGAAAATAAAAAATAAAAAAATTCAATCTTTTTTTCCTTAAACTTTCTATGGACATGTATAATTAAAATTTATTTTTTTCTCTTTATTATATTCCATTTATTTTCTTTCTCTCTCTTATTATTTATCTCTATTTTCTATGAAAAAATTAAATTGGATTCTTATAACTTTTTTTTTTTTGCTTTTTTCATTCATTTGTTGTGAAAAATATCTATCTTTTTATTAAATTTATATAAAAAATTTATAATTAAATTTAAATATATTGATTTTTTATTTTTTTTAAAAGTACACTATACTAATAATATTGAATCATATATATGTGTGTAATTTTGATTATTAATTATTTAATTAATGTCTTAAATTTTTATTTTTTTTTATTATATGGGAAGAAGAAGGGGAAAGAAAAGGGGAATTATGGGAACTAACAACTCATATGTGAAAATTTAACACCAGATCCATGTGAATTCTATTTCAAATGAAAAATTTCAAAAGTTTTTTGAATTCCACAAAAGTGTATAAAAATCTTAAAATGAGAATTCATAGAAGTTTATGAAAGATTTTCACTAATTCCATACAAATTTTTAAAAGAACCACAAAATCCACAAAAGTCATCACTTAAAAAAGTCCATCAAAATTTTCAAAAGTCCCAATTAAATACATTCCCCTTATTATTTGAAATAAAAAAAATTATAGAAAATTAATGCATTAAATAATAAGTTGCCACGTAATGTAGTCGTTGATTATGAATAGCATTATTCATTAAAATTAGACAATAATTTTCAACTCACAATATATAAAAATTAGCATAAATTGACGATATTTAGATTGACAATATATAAAAATTAGCATACAACTTAGAATGACGATATTTTGTCACATAAATTGAGAAAAATGATGGGCTTATTCAGTCATTCTCAAAATATTTTGGCGAGGTTCAATTATTGATTGATTATTAATAATTGTGGAAATATTGAAAAGAATATTGAGAGTATTTTTTGGGTTCAATTTTTTGGAATAAATGTGTTATTTTGCAAGGGATGGAGTAGTTTTTGAAAGAGGTGGTTCATAATAACAAGAAACATGTAATACAATATTTTTTATACTCAATTACATCCTTTTACTTATTTATTGGTTATAATCTAATTACTATTTTTCAAAAGTTTAAGAAATATATCAAATTTTTTTTAATCATTTTGCTTATTCATTGGGTATAACATAAACACAATTGCTATAAATGTATTATATATTCCAACCTCCCATGCATTCAAGAAAACTACTATCAAAATATGTAATTGTTATTGATAAGTGTGTTTTACTAGCAAGTTTAAGCCAATTTTAACTTGATTGTAAATTAGATTTTATGAGTATGAAACGTTTTTAATGTGTTTATTAATGTTGTTTTATAGGTTTATTGAAATGGCGAAGGATATGAAGAATGATCATTAATTGAAATTAATGACATGGATGGAAAAGACGTGTGGATACGAGGGCAAAATAGGCAAAGCAAAAGCGAGACGAGTGGCACCAAAGCGCCAAAAAACAAGGGAGTAACAGAGTGTGGGCGCCACGGTGCGACATTCAGGGCATTGCGGCCCCCCATTAATAATGAACGCGGCACCGGTTATTTTACCTTTTCATATAAAAATGACGGATTTTTCCTTCTTTTTATTAAGAGCTACGCTCTCTTTAATTGGTCAAAGTCACCAGCAAGAAAATAATCATAGAAATAAAAAATAAAGTTAGTGCCATTAGATATTCCTGTGGACGGAATAAAAGATATACCACAAGTATACATCACTCCACCGAATAAAGACGCGAGTAGGTGTGATTACATTTTACATACTATTTAATTTATTTTTAAAATTAATTATAAGTTATTACTATTTTACCAGCATCATCAAATAAGCCTCTCTCGTTGAGTGTAAAACTCCAGATTTAAATACCTAGATTAAAATAAATACGAAAAAAAATAAATTCTTCTTTAACATAATAAACATTAATGTCTTTCATTGACGAAAAAGAATTTAATAAAATTTTGTAATAAAAATATAAGATAATTAAATTAAGGTTAACTTTATTTTAAAATGAAGTAAATTTTTAAACATATTAGTACTAAGCTTGTCCCATTACAATTAACCATTTCGAATTATCTTGTCTTCATTATCTAAAAAAATGCAAGAGAGATAGCTTGGAATGAGCCAACGTCTAGTAAGAAAACTATAGGCACATGATGTATGTTTATCATATGTATGCATTACTTTGAAATAAATAGCTCTCTCCAATATGTATCCTTTTTTTTTTCTTTCATTTATTAAAAACTTTGATATTAACATTGTGAGCTTACCAAATGTATTGTCTAATCAATCAAAATACTGTGAGCTATTGTCATTTGGAACTCATTAAATCTTCACGCGTTTTATAGCATAGACATGCACCTCTTTTAAAAAATATTCGGGATATATATCTTTTTTAAAAATGTTTGTTGTCATATTGACATTTAGAAACTTTTTTATTTCTTGAAACATGTACATGCTTTTGGATGCATTTACATACATGAATAGGCCATGAGAAACATTAATGACATTAAAAGCAACAATCAAATAACATGTTCGCATAGTAACAATTTAGGTAACACGTTTATACATTTAACAATGTAAATTACAAATGAAGAAAATGTGAAATTTACTTACTTGAAGTGCTTCGTAATTTACTTTACGAATGACAAATAGAGACGTCCCCAACCGTCCACAAAATTAGTGTGCCAAAAATTTTATTCCTCTACTACTTATTTAATCTAGACCATTGTTCTAGTAAGTTAATTTATTTACTATTAATTTTTGTTAAAATGAAAATTGTAAATAAAAGTATCAAGAATTATCGAAAATAAAGTTGAGGAGTTCTGTTCAGATAAAAAAAAACACCCTCATTTAAGGATTATATGGTTTTACTACCATTGATAAAATAGTTGGTTAAAGAAAATTCTGTTGGGGAAACTATGATCAATTACAAAATATATGATTGAATTAAATCTCTCACAGAACATGTAAATGCATCATTCAAGAATTTAGACAGAGTGAAAAATATGAACAATTTAATAGCATAAGCGCAAATAAAATACCATTTTAGAATTTCTTATAACTTGAAAAAAGGAACTAAATTCTTAACTTATAGGACAAATCACATGTAAGAAACATAAAATTTGCAGACAAATGAAAGTTTCGGATTCATACATAATGTTATGATCGTCAAACCTAACAGAGTAAACATTTTTTATTCTATTTTAATACATACCTAACAGAGTAAACAAGCACGCGATGTTACATTATGTATCCATCAAAAAACAGAAAAAAAAAAATTATAACAGCATATAATAAGTCATTTTTTACTTATAACTAAAAAATGTAGTTACAAGATAGG